TGTAAGTCACAAGAATGAGCCACCTTCAGGCCAACACATTCCAGTGGTAGAACACACGTCAAGCCTTTTAGTCTAGTCTTAGCAATGGCAAAATATTTCCACCCTAGTCAGGCTTGTGAACCACTATCCCTCAATACTGTAGTGGGTGAACTTTTATCTCAGCACCAATTTAAAAGTGGTGGCAAGACAGTGAAACCAAGTCCCAGATTACATTGAAGAAAACAATTAATGCTGCACCAAAATAGCCTTAAACATAAAACTTGGGATATTAGCCAGCAAAATACTGCAAACCCAACTAAGTGAACTTTACATTTGTTTCTTCATATTTTATCTTAAGTCAGTCTGACCCAACTCCACCCTCAGCAACGGGTCATGATATGATCCATTTGCTAGAATGTGCATTATGCAGTCTCTGGAACATCAAAAGTAGCTGCAACACAACAGCAGACCACCTGATTGACTAGCTATAGACAAGAATCCTTACCAATCAGTTTTTGTAGTACAGATGAAGAACTGTGACCCATTTGTATTGGGCCCAGCATTGGCCATTGACAATATACCTGTAATTAAAACAATTAAGTTACCAACAAAAGACCAGAAGTCCAAAACAGTAGTATACACCAAAGAATTTTCCCCAAACCTCCCAACTTATGTAATACAACAGACCAATGTAGTGCTGGACTACACTGACAGGCTCAAGTTCAAACAGGCATCAGGTAAGGCAGATTTAGAGCCCCAACTACATTCTGACTGCTGCCCAGTAACTTGCTCATCACAAGTTTAGAAATTTATGTACCTTCATGCCTTGAAGGTTTGTGGTTTGCAGGTCTGTCTTTCAAATACCCACCCCACAGCCATCAAGTCAGGCAATAGGACTTTAATGCAGAGCTTTCTGGCTCAGACAGGAATGCTGCTCACTAAACTACAACACCTCACACGCAGATCACAATGATCAAATGAAAGGGGAAACCACAGCTAGCATCCACAAAAAAGTTAGAACTTTTCATTTTACACGAATCCACAGATAGGTTGGAGGTTACATACAATAAATTTCATTTACCATTGCCTTCATGAAGGAGGTTAAAGTTCTCATCCTCAAACTTGGGACCATAGATGGACCTGCCACCAGTGCCATTGCCAGCTGTGAAGTCTCCACCCTGTGGAATGCAGACATTCAGATTAGTTAGACCCAGAATAATAAATGCAACCTCTCCTCAATTTCATTGGCAACAACATTTAGCACCTAGCTGCTGTACCATTTCAGCACATTCTGAAGATTGGTATTATTATTCAGTTGTACAAGTTGCAGATGCAACCACCATTCCAGTGGAAGAGTCAATACTGAAACATGCCATTTTTCAGACAGGCAATATTAACGGTTTGACGGTTTGTAAAGAATACTATCACATTAATGTCAAGAGTATCCTGTCCATTAGTGATCTTAAAAATTCTGGTCATCACCACATTGCTGCATACAAATTGGTTGAGCTCTTACTGGCTACTTTTTAAAAACAAGCCCTAGCTTTAAAAACATTATGGAACATCTTGCTCAAGAGCTTCTAGTCCTGAACAATCTCCAAATAGCAAAGATGAGACTGAAATTTCAGTCTTGAGTCGCCGAGCAAATCTTTCTAGCTGTGGAAAACATTAGTAACTTGGAGGATTTTTTAGGACTGTCATTCTGCTGTTGCTGCTGAGTTTTAGCATGCAGCTTTCAAATTGTTGATTTTGCATTGCTACCAGCCAATGACCAGGTATTTCCAATGCCTGGAATCAGCTCCTGTATTTGTTGCATCTCAAAACCCAACAATTCTCTTCCTGATAGTACGGCCTCCCCATACACAATTCAAACATGCTGTTAATCTTTTAAGAGTTAACAGACAGCTTCACCAAAATATTCCAGATCCAAATTTTAAACCAAAATCAGTTACAAGATCCAGATGAAAACTGGAAAGCTTGCTTTCACCAAATCCACATTTGCTTCATGTGGAGCAAGGCTGCAACTGACTAATGAGCCAGAGATATTGTGCAGAGGACTGCTTCTGTTCCAAACCAAGAAACAATCTTGAAGAGTTATTGCCTAGATATTTCTGGTTTGAAATACAAGATGCAACAAGATTGCATGTCAGGTGATTTACTATTACAGCTGGAAGCAACTCCAGACATTTGACTGAAGGCAACCAGCAAGTAATTTACTTGGTCTAACTTGTCCAAGGTATTCATTTGGAGACGTAAACTGTGGCAGGAGTTAATACCTGTATGGTATTTCAATTCACTTAGTCTGAACGAAAGTTATATATAGTTACTAAGTATATCCAGTTCTTAAAGGAGACTTACCTGGCACATAAAGCCAGGAATTATTCGGTGGAAAACTGATCCTCTGTAGCCAGAACCTTGTTCCTTTAAGCACAGTTGACGGAAGTTCTCTGTTTAAAGGAAAGATTTGAGCAAAACTCCAACCTTCTAATGGAAGTGAATAGGTGAAATGCAGTCACTGCATCTCAACTGCCTTCTGTCAACCACACCTCCTAAAAGCTTGCTATCACATTATATTCAAATTATAGCCAGCATTCAGAAGTGCTCCATAATGTCTATCAATTCAAACAGCATTTGGGATCAAAGTCAACTTTGGGTTGCTCCAAATAGAAAGTGGCAAACTAGCCATCCTAGAGAATTATACATCATTGAAAGACTTTCCTTCCTTACCATTCAGCCTGAAAGATGCAAGTTCAACTTAAAAAGCTTAGGGGGAAGATATTACCCTAAATAAAAGGAAGTACACGTCCATACTAATAGATCTGAATATAGCAGGGAAGGCAGTCAAGGTAGTGCATGGGAAGTTTTTTTAACTAGCATGTTAATATACATTAGACACCCAAGGCAGTTGGGACCTGAACCGAGACTTTCTGGCCCAAGGGTAGGAACACTACTAGTGCCACAAGACCCCTAATCACCTTTATTACTCAAGGAACAGAATAAAAGCACAGGGAACTTTATGTTGGAGTACTGTGCATAGTTCTTGTCAACCATAGGAATAGTGAGATTGCACTAGATGGGCTGCAGAGGAGATTTACTTGATGTTACCTGGGTTGCAAGTTCTGTACAAGTGGAAAAATTGAGTAGATCTTCCTTAGATCCTCTCAGCTTTGCTGTTCCGAGTACCAGATTGATAAGCTTTTTCCATTAATAGAGGGGGTCAACAGTCAAGGACAAGTGATGGAACACCAACAGCCAAGGTAAGGAGAAGGGATTCCAAACAAGATTGAGAGTCTGTAACTCACTAAAAAAGGTGAGAGAGGGGCCAAGTCTTCAACATTTAAAGCAGTATTTAGATATTCACGGATAAATACCCTTTAAGGCTATGGGTGAAAAGAGTGGAAAATAGGATTTAGTGGTCAGATCTGTCAATTAGTGTACATCCTCTTTGCCAAAAACCATATAGGCTATTATACTACCTGATATTAATTTATCAATATCCTAAAATTGCTTAAGTTACAAATAGTTTGTTTTCCATTCATATTGGCTGTAAACCTGGTCTTAAATGATGCAATGAAAAACCTCAATGGAGCATAGGAGAAAGAAGTATTCATTTGCTCACCTGCAGTCTTTGGAACAATATCCTTTCTTAGCTGGTGGATAGAAAGAGAGAGCAAAGATTAGATATTTAAAAAAAAACAAAAAATAGACACCTGCACTCTCACAGGCACAATGAACCGGCATGAGCAATAATCATTCTAACAAAAGGGTATACAGCATTTTTGAACCAATTTTCAGAATTTACAAAAGGGAAGACAAGGGATTAGATGGAAAGCAATCACATTTTAGCAAGACGTGCTGCCACAAGAGGCACAACCAAAGTAGCATAGGCAATGAAACAAATCACTAGGTAAACTCACAGGGAGAGAGCGCAAGTTAACATTGCAAGTCCAGTGACCCTTCTTTGTAACTGGACATGGGTAAGGGGCACGGGCACATGGTCACAGACCAGCAGGTGACAGTCCTTAAGAGCCTAGCAGGAGGTCTGTCAGCCATTTGGGAAACTCAAGACAGAGAGGTGTGGGAACGGGAAAAAAAAATAAAAAGGATGTTTCACAGCATAGTCATGAAGGGCACACATCCTTATAACGGGGCAAGAGGAAGAAAAGGGAAGCAAAACTAAAGGATTGAAGGAACACGTTTCCCTCTCCAAGCTCAATTAAAAGAATGAGCTTATTAAAAAAGGAAAAGCCAAAAAAAAACACTGTAGGTGGGGAGAAGAAGACGAAGACGAAGAATATTGATCAGATAGTAATCGAATTGTGCATTAGTTAGAGACTTCGCCCACTCCAGTCGAACACCCCCAGATTTCGTTAATACAGAGAGAGATAGACGATCAAGAGGCCCCCTTTTCCCCATCCATCAGCACCCACCACATCCCATCGAGAGCCATCAGCAGAAGGGGAAGCGAAAGAGACAAAATGGCGGCGATGGCCATTTCTCCCTCCCCTCCGCCCCAGGTAACGACCCCCAACATTGGGAACGGCTAGCAGCGCACAAAATAACAGTTAAACCCGCCCGACCTCAAAAACGATGCGTCCCGCTGGCTGGTTGCCGATCGAGATGTCAAAGAAGACTTTGGGGTTAGCCATTGCCTCTCGCCTTCGCCTTTACCTGCTCAGAAAGAACACCACCGCGGTCTACCTTCCACTCACCCGCCCCCCTTCCTTTTATAGACTGCGCAGCGCGGCCTGTCCCGTCTCTCCGCGACCACCTGATTGATACCCATGTCGACCAATCGACGATCGGATGTCCCGGCGATTGACGGCCGATCTCACCAATCGGCTATAGGCCCACCCACTCCAGTTGATAGATGGGCGCTACCACCAATCGACGGCCGGAAAACGGCACCCGCCACGTTGACGGACGGCCCCGTCTACCAATCGGCAACCGGCAACCCCGTTGATGGGCAGCCATCTCACCAGCCGGTGGTCAGTCCCCCACTGGGAGGGCGGGCATCGGCAGTAAAACTGGCGGCGGCAGGACAAATCACATGGCGGCGGCGGCTGCCTGATGGACGGGCGGGCGGGCCAATGGGAAGAGAGCGCCGCCGACCGCCTGCCTAAGCTGATCAAAAATTCCCATCGGAAATGCTTGCTCGTGAGTGTTAAAAAAAGGGTGTTTTATTATTTTTTCCCCCAAACTTTAATTTTTTTTAAAGAAAATACATAAACTCACAAGGATAGGATGGTAGAAGGAATGAGCATTATGCGCTCACCTTAGGTCGGCGAAACGGTACAAATTCCATGCATTGATAACAGTAAAGGCTGACAGGTGTATAGCCCCCGTGTTTTAAATATGCAAAAAAAAAATCGTTATGGCAGATGTAGGAGAAAAAAAACTGACTTAAGTTTGTATTAATGTGGGTGACCTGGTTTAATTTCAGTGAAAAGGGGGATGGTGGGAGGGGAGAGAGAATGATGGAAGTTATTTCCGGCCCATTTTTCCCTTCGCACGGAGCTTCGCTTTTGACTTTTGTTTTAATCCAAACAAAGTAAATTATAAAGAAGAGTCTAACGTCGTCGTTACTTCAGTTGTTGGTCTGGGAGGAAGAAGAGGGGAAAAACAACCCTTTTGTTGGTCGAAGAGAACAGCCCGCTTTGTGGTCTCAAGATGGTCACCGGTTTCGCAGCTTCCAGAATGTTCTGTGTGGTCAAGCTGCAGAGGTGATGGGCGGGCTAAAGCAAATCACATCACATTCCCACAATTAAATCCCTCTTCAGAAATTTGCATCGAGCGAAATTGTGAATTCGGACCTCATTTTTTTTCTTTTTCCCCTTTTCTTAAATTTTGTTTTGCCTGCAGTGTACCTTATGAGGGCTTGGGGCTCAGTAAATTTCTCTGGCGCTCATCGAAATTGTGAATGCACTTTGTTTTGCTTTTACTTCTTTTCCGCTCCCCCCCAATTCTGTGTGCAACAAACCTGGCAAGGGCGCTGGTGTTAGCTCAGTAAATTTCCCTGGCACTCATTGAAATTGTGAATGGTTTTTTTTTTATTGTTTTTCCCCCCGCCCCCCCAATTCTGTGTGCAGCAAACCTGGCCAAGGTGCTGGTGGCAGCTCAGTAAATTTCTCTTGCATCCATCGAAATTGTGAATGCATTTTTATTGCCTTCCCCCCCGTGTGCAGCGAACCTGGCCAAGGTGCTGGTCAGTAAATTTCCCTCGCATCCATCGAAACCCTAAATCTCCATTTTGCTTTTCTGTGTTGCAGCAAACTAATGAGTGCATGATGTCAGCCCAGTAAATTTCAGCTGCGGTGGTCAGAATCAAAAATCTTTTATTTTGCTGATTTTTTTTTGTGTGTGTGCACCAAAACTAGTGACGTGCTTGTGACAGATTGGTAAATTTCTGTTACACTCATCGAAATTGTGAACCCGTTTTTGCTCCTTTTATTTTTGTGTGCAGCAAATCTACTGAGGGGTGCTTGTGTCAGCCCAGTAAATTTCTCTTGCACTCATCGAAATTGTGAATTCTCTTTTTGCACTATTTTAGATTCAGTGTTTGTATGCAGCAGAGCATTGTGAGGTGCTTTTGCAACCCAATAAATTTCTCTTACATCATCAAAATCACATATTCTCTTTTTTTGAATGTGTAGCAAACCTAGTGAGGTGCTTGGTGTCAGCTCAATAAATTTCTCTTGCACTCATGAAAATTGTGAATCCCAAATTTGCACTTTTTTCTCTTTTTTTTGAGTAAATATATGCAACAAACCTAATAAAGTTCTTGCAGGAACACTGTAATTTTCTCTTGCACTAATCGGAAACATAAATCCCCTATTTCTCAATTTTTTTTGATATGAATGTGTGCAGCAAACCTTGTAAGGGCTTGTTGTCAGTTCAGTGAATTTCTCTTGCACTCATTGAAATTGTGAATCCTGTTTTTGCCTTTATTTTAATCTTGTGTGTGCAGCAAACCTGGCAAGGTGCTTGTGTCAGCTAAGTAAATTTCTCTTGCATTCAACAAAATTGTGAATCCCATATTTGCTCAATTTACCTTTTTTGTGTGTATGTGTAGCAAACCTAGTGAGGAGCTTTTGTCAGACCAGTAATTTTTTTTTTGCATTCATCGAAATTAAAAATTCCTTTTTTTTGCTCATTTTTAAAAATGCAGTGTGTGTCTGTGCAGTGAACCTAGTTAGGTGCTTGCGTCAGCTCGTAAATTTCTCTTGCACTAACTGAAATTGTAAATCCCCTTTTTGGTCTTATTTTTGCGGCAAACCTCATGAGGTGGTTGTGTTAGCCCAGTAAATTCCTCTTGCACTTCCTCATTTTGGTCAAGTTTTCATACTTAATAGTATGCCAGAGGGGCAAAACAGTTTAAAAACAACCAGTATTAGTGGGAAATGAATGTAGTGGTCGTACTGGAGCATTGTTGTGAGGAATACGAAGGCAGTGGTAGCTGTAAAATTGCCACTGCCTCATTAGAGAGAGTTGTATGGTGGTAGTTTAACCTGAGGGTCACTACGCCTCAGACGAGGGGAGAGATTGAGAAGGTGAGTCATTCGTGATAACCTCAGCCACTGTGGGAAATTAACCCACACTGTTGGTGTCACTCTGCATCGCAAACCAACTGTCCAACCAACTGAACTAATCAACCTCCCACTGTCTGTATATGTAATTCACAAGTGTTACTGTATTTTTCCCTTTTCTGGAGTATTGCTTTGACATTTGGGGTGTGGTCAGTTGGAACGGTGATGTTTCCCTATCAAGGAAATGTGCAAATAAATAAGAGATGCAGCAGGGATTTGAAAATAAAGCAAAGAACTGTGGATGTTGGAATTCTTGAAACGAAAACACATTGCTGGAGAAATTCAGCAAGTTGGGCAGCATCTGAATAGAGAAAACAGTTAACTTTTCGAATCCAGTGACCCTTCTTCAGAACCATCTTCTCCAGTTGTGTCGAATTTCTCCAGTAATTTCTATTTTTGTAGCAAAAAATTCTCTTTGCTTCAGGCATTTAAGCGAATGCCATCAACAATCAAATTCTTAGACATAGCAGGAACTGCAGATGCTGGAGAATCCGAGACAACAAGGTGCAGAGCTGGATGAACACAGCAGGCCAAGCAGCATCATAGGAGCAGAAAGGCTGACGTTTCGGGCCTAGACCCTTCATCAGGGTCTAGGCC